GCTTCATTTCCCCCCTTCTAATGTCCGTAACACCTGGCCTCTGCTAGACAGCTTCCCGCAAGTAAGGTTAATATAGCGTCTTATTTTCTTTTGACACCCCCCCCCCGAAATAAGGGCTTGACCTTATTTTCAGGAAAGTCTTATTATTTTTGAGGTGCAGGAGGCGGCGAGCGTGGTCACCTCATGGCTGCTGCTGTTTTACACTGCTATGGCAGTGAGGGGCAAGGCGTGTCGCTGGATCTGCCACTCTTTTTAAGGCGATTAGCATGACGGAAGGGGCGCAATGGCTAAGGTTGCAGGAGCGGCTGTTAGGTAACGGCATGTGGGGTGTGGGGGGCATGTTCCCCCCTCCCTTCCGCTGGCCTCACCTCATCTGCTCAGACGAAAGACGCCAGGAAAAAAAACCAAATAAGAGATAGGGACAAGAACCTGACAAGAAACAGTCAAGGTGGTCCTTTAGAGCAGTGGTCTCCAACCATTGCTCTAAAGCTATGCTGGCTGAGGAACTCTGGGAGTTGAAGTCCACAGGTCTTAAAGTTGCCAAGGTTGGAAACCACTGCTTTAGAGTATGGAATGACGAAAGAAATGACTTAAATGAATGAGCAGGAGGGGGAGAGTTTCTTAGGAGTAGAGTCTATAAAATGTATTGTTTGAATGCTATTATTTGCTCTCCTTGTACTCGATCTACTTGGGAAGAGACTTGGAGGCCGCCTTTGCAAACACTTTTTTATTTTTCTGCAAATAAACCTTTTTGAATTGTCAACCAGACTTGTCTCTGTGTTGTGAGGATTTTAATATATTTTATTTATTGGGTTTTTATCTCACAAGTCTGAGGGCAGTGTTGGTAGACAATGCTGACTTCCCTGTACGGCAACTGCTGTCAGGAAATACAACTTAGAAGCTACTTACACAGGACATTCTTACGCGAAGTTGTCATGTTTGCAGTCTTAGACTTGAACGGGTTTACCATAGGGAGGCATGTCCTATTAACTGCAAGAAAAGAGGAAACCATCAACATCAACCAACGGTTTTGGTCAACAATTTCCCACCTGGCACCACCGCTTAATCGACTTAAGCTTCGAGTTGATTAATCTGACAATTAAAACAGAAGCCATGAAATACAGCCGTAGCCACCCAAATGTTCTCTGCCTCATTATTAGAATGTTGTTAGCATGTTGTGTGGATATGTATTGTCCAAAGTTCTTGCATTCAATCAGGGCAATTACTTAAGAACCTAAACTGTAATATTTTGAGAAATAGCATAGTTGAAATCCTGCTGATCTGAACAAGAAATAGAAATAGAATAACAGAGTTGGAAGGGACCTTAGAGGTCTTCTAGTCCAACCCCCTGCCTAGACAGGAAACCCTACACCACGTCAGCAAATGGTTATCAAACATTTTTTTAAAAACTTCCAGGGTTGGAGCATTTACAACTTCTGGAGGCAAGTTGTTCCTCTGGTTAATTGTTCTAACTGTCAGGAAATTTCTCCTTAGTTCTAAGTGGCTTCTCTCCTTGATTAGTTTCCACCCATTACTTCTTGTTCTACACTCAGGTGCCTTGGAGAACAGCCTGGCTCCCTCTTCTTTGCGCCAAGCCCTGAGATATTGGAACACTACTATGTCGCCCCTCCTTTTCATCAGACTAGACATACCCAGTTCCAGCAACCCTTCTTTATATGCTCTTTGTCTGTATAATATTGATAAAAACAATTCATTATATTATATATTGCCCACCTAGAGACTCTAGGCTATAAAGTATAGGTTTATACTTTTCTCATTCATAGTTTCTCAAAGTATCCCAGTTGAAAAAATATGGCCTTTCAAAATCCTCCACTGAATATGAGAAGAAAAAGGAGTAGGAGTAGGAGTAGGAGTAGGAGTAGGAGTAGGAGTAGGAGTAGGAGTAGGAGTAGGAGTAGG